GAGTGTTCTTACCATGTGCCTGGCATGGATACAGTGCTGAGCGGGTGCACTTGAACGGGTGTTCTTACCATGTGCCTGGCATGGATACAGTGCTGAGCGGGTGCACTTGAACGGGTGTTCTTACCATGTTCCTGGCATGGATACAGTGCTGAGCGGGTGCACTTGAACGGGTGTTCTTACCATTTGGCAGGCATGGATACAGTGCTGAGCGGGTGCACTTGAACGGGTGTTCTTACCATGTGCCTGGCATGGATACAGTGCTGAGCGGGTGCACTTCAACGGGTGTTCTTACCATGTGCCTGGCATGGATACAGTGCTGAGCGGGCGCGCTTGAGCGTGCAGTGCTGAGCGGGTGCACTTGAACGGGTGTTCTTACCATGTGCCTGGCATGGATACAGTGCTGACTGGGTGCACTTGAACGGGTGTTCTTACCATGTGCCTGGCATGGATACAGTGCTGAGCGGGTGCACTTGAACGGGTGTTCTTACCATGTTCCTGGCATGGATACAGTGCTGAGCGGGTGCACTTGAACGGGTGTTCTTACCATGTGCCTGGCATGGATACAGCGCTAAGCGGGTGCACTTGAACGGGTGTTCTTACCAAGTGCCTGGCATGGATACAGTGCTGAGCGGGTGCACTTGAACGGGTGTTCTTACCATGTGCCTGGCATGGATACAGTGCTGAGCGGGTGCACTTGAACGGGTGTTCTTACCATGTGCCTGGCATGGATACAGTGCTGAGCGGGTGCACTTGAACGGGTGTTCTTACCATGTTCCTGGCATGGATACAGTGCTGAGCGGGTGCACTTGAACGGGTGTTCTTACCATGTGCCTGGCATGGATACAGCGCTAAGCGGGTGCACTTGAACGGGTGTTCTTACCAAGTGCCTGGCATGGATACAGTGCTGAGCGGGTGCACTTGAACGAGTGTTCTTACCATGTGCCTGGCATGGATACAGTGCTGAGCGGGCGCACTTGAACGGGTGTTCTTATCATGTGCGTGGCATGGATACAGTGCTAAGCGGGTGCGCTTGAATGGGTGTTCTTACCATTTGGCAGGCATGGATGCAGTGCTGAGCGGGCGCGCTTGAGCGTGGGTTCTTACCATTTGGCAGGCATGGATACAGTGCTGAGCGGGTGCACTTGAACGGGTGTTCTTACCATGTGCCTGGCATGGATACAGTGCTGAGCAGGTGCACTTCAACGGGTGTTCTTATCATGTTCCTGGCATGGATACAGTACTGCCTCGATCTGTCGCGTTTTGCAGCGCTTCTTGAGCGGGGAACCAATTTTGCATGGTATTTACGGTGAATTGTGGGCGTTTCGGTCTGTGCGCGGCACTGCCTCGATCTGTCGCGTTTTGCAGTGTTTTTTAAGCAGAAAAGCAAGTTTGCATGGTATTTACAGTGAACTGGGAACGGGCCAAGCGCGGCTCAATGGCCGGTCTGAGGGAACAACAACAACAACAACGACAACGACAACGACAACGACAACGACAACGACAACGACAACGACAACGACAACGACAACGACAACGACACCGACACCGACACCGACACCGACAACGACAACGACAACGACAACACAACGACAACGACAACGACAACGACACCGACACCGACACCGACACCGACACCGACACCGACACCGACACCGACACCGACACCGACACCGACAACGACAACGACAACGACAACGACAACGACAACGACAACGACAACGACAACGACAACGACAACGACAACGACAACGACAACGACAACGACAACAACAACAACACACAACAACACACAACAGCACACAACAACCCACAACAACACACAACAAGACACAACATCACGCAACAACACACAACACACCACAACACACAACAACACATAAAATCTGCACAATACAGCACAACACAGCACAACACAGCAAAACACAGCACACAACAACACACAACAACACACAGCAACACACAACAACACACACACACACAACAACACAACAGCACACAACAACACACAACAACACACAACAACACACAACAACACACAACAACACACAAGAACACACAAGAACACACAAGAACACACAACAACACACAACCCACAACAACCCACAACAACACACAACAACACACAACAACACACAACAACACACAACAACACACAACAACACACAACAACACACAACACCACACAACACCGCACAACAACACACAACAACACAACAACAACACACACTAACGAAACACATCAACACACAAGAACAAAACACATCAACACACAACAAGACACAACAACACACAAACACACAACAACACACAACAACACACAACAAACACAAGACACAACACACAACACACGACACACAACATCCAGAAAAAACACACGCACACCACACACAACACCCAACAACACACACACACACACACACACACACACACACACACACACACACACACACACACACACACACACACACACACACACACACACACACACACACACACACACACACACACACACACACACACACACACACACACACACACACACACACACACACACACACACACACACACACACACACACACACACACACACACACACACACACACACACACACACACACACACACACCACACACGCACACACGCACACACGCACACACGCACACACGCACACACGCACACACGCACACACGCACACACGCACACACGCACACACGCACACACGCACACACGCACACACGCACACACGCACACACGCACACACGCACACGCACACACGCACACACGCACACACGCACACACGCACACACGCACACACGCACACACGCACACACGCACACGCACACACGCACACACACACACGCACACGCACACACACACACACACGCACACGCACACGCACACGCACACGCACACGCACACGCACACGCACACGCACACGCACACACACGCACACGCACACGCACACGCACACGCACACGCACACGCACACGCACACGCACACGCACACGCACACGCACACGCACACGCACACGCACACGCACACGCACACGCACACGCACACGCACACGCACACGCACACGCACACGCACACGCACACGCACACGCACACGCACACGCACACGCACACGCACACGCACACGCACACGCACACGCACACGCACACGCACACGCACACGCACACGCACACGCACACGCACACGCACACGCACACGCACACGCACACGCACACGCACACACACGCATGCACGTCTTATTGAATGGTCCGGCATATTGCCATATGATAGCTCACATGGCTGTGTGTGGGCAACAAGCACCCGTGATTCCTGTTGGCTTCACTTGCTCGATCTGAGATGCTGTTGCGGGCTGCAAGCCCATCCGTGACAATTCTCGCTGCGCATGGTTCGAGTACTTATTCGTGTCTCCGAACATCATGCACTCCTCTGGACGTTTTTTAATCTTGCCACTTCTGCCCAGGCAGGAAGACTCAAATGTCAAACAAGCACTGAACGTGGATCGTATGCACTTTGCTCCTGAGTCCATACTGGATTTCATGCCGGCTGAAAGTGGGTTTGCAAGGTGGGAGTATCGGGCCCAAGAGAATGATCCTGTGGATGCTGCTGTGCCGAGCCAAGCTGTGTGCGAACAGCCACCTGTGGCAGCTACCCACTGATCAAGGTGGCGCAACTAGTGAATCGTGGCCAATACCGAGCGTGGAGAGCCCTTTTGTGCCGTAGCGCGCTGAGATGGCACAATATTAAGTCGTCATTTGCCACAAGTTAGGCTTGGAGCAGGGCGTTTACCTTTGCGGAACTCGCAGGGCTGAGCCCTCAGACTAAAGTGAATCTCGAGCGTGCTGTTATGCAAGGAGAGTCGCGTACCGATCATCATCAGCTTGAAAGCAATGCAAGCTGCGCCAAGGTTTACATACGTGTGAATGAAGGTCAAGACAGGCTTGAGGCTCCTAGTCTCTTCGCAGCAAGGAGCGTGAACCGTAGCCGCCCAATACTCAAGCCCGGGTGACAAAGAAATTTGCATCAGGAAAGATGAGTCTTGCCCTGGCAAGTGCCGCGTTTCGCTGCCGCAGGCATCTGAAGATGCTGGAAGAAGCTGGGGAGATTTGACGCAAATCATGACGGGAGCAAAGGCCAGGCGCAGACAGAAAGACTCACGCAGCTGAGTGCGAGCTTCTACAAACCATTGCAGCAAACATGAGGCAGCGCAAGTGGCTCTGCTTGAAAGAGCCAGTGCCTCGTGCGAATACTATTCCGAATGCTAGCTGTCCGGGGCATGGCGGCATGGCCATGCCTGTTTTTGCACGCTCCCTGTGATCATGTTGACGGACCGGTGGGCGGGGGGGGGAAGGTTGGGGGGCCCCCCCCCCCCCGAAAATGGCTGAAACGGGAAAACTAAAGGCTGGGTTTGGCATTCTGGGACAATTTTTCAAATTTTATCTGGTTTTGTTCCTCTTTTGACATGCTTAGGCCGTGCCTTGTTTTCAGAATATGCGCCACCCATTCAGTTTTACAATCTTCTAATTTTGACCTTTCCCTTTGCTTTCTAAGATCCTTTCTTTGTTAGCTTCATGATGCGTTTTCAATGCATTTTGGTTTTGGTCTGTGTTTTTTCTTATAGTGCGTGCTGTACTGTGGTTACATGTACGCAGCATGCTTTTCAGATTAAACAAAATGCAACCGGCAGCAAGGCTGCCACATGATACATTCAGGATGTTTGAACACACAAGGGGAGAGATACATAGACAAATCAAACGAGCTCGAGGCAAAATCAGCTGCCGGACTCCCGTGAATGATGCATGTTTGCAACCGTACCATAGTGTCACCTCGCATGATCCCAGTGGATGTACAGGAAGGGCATGGAGGCGATTGCAGGAATCAACCTAGCTTCATGAGCCATGTCAAGGCTGGGAAGCTGAAAAGGGGTGGTTGCAGCTGACATTCTGAACGAGCTGCTAGATGCGCGGAGCAGCTTTATGTTTCGTGGCCCAAGCTGGAGAGAGGCAATCTGACTGTCAGAACATGCGTCGGACTGTACATACTAATCCTCCGAAGATGCATCATGCAGCCGCTGTGCATGCAGGCGTTCCGCATTGCGCTACGTTTCTCACAGATTCACAGGGTCTCAAATGTATTTGTGGAAGTGTGGGGCATGTGGGGCATGTGGGGCATTGCACCAGTCGGATAGGCATAATGATCCTTGATGCTTTGCTGCCCGCCTTCTCCTTTCTTGCCGCTTTGTTTGCTGCGTAAGTACAGCTGAACAATTGATGCGCATTCCAGGTTGAAGCGATGTCCCCACCAAGCTCTCCTAGCTCTCCACTTAGCACATTCACAATTTCAGTGCTCAAGGAATGTGAGGAAATGTGAGGTGTGTGGATGCGAATTTCAGTTGAGGCCAAAGTCCTGTTCGCCAACGCTGTGCCAGGCCTGGCTTGTGATTGGCATTGAAAGCGACACGTTTCTGCTCAGCTGGCACAGCATCGAGGCTTTGTGTTATGCGGCAAAGCAAAGCTAGCATTTCGGCATTTGTGTCATTTGAAGCTAAGCTGATGGCACGATGGTCTTTTCAACTGGGAGGTGTGGGCTGTCTTTGGACAATGCATCTTTACTATTGGCAGCTCGACAGCAAATACATTTGAGCTATATTGAGACTGCCAATTCAGGCAAGCCCCAGAACCCCAAGCAGAGCCAGTGAAAGAACAGCATTGGCCCAGGTTTGTGAGCACAACTTATGCCTGCACTGTGCTGCTCAGTCGCTGGAAGCTTGCTTTTGCCTTACAACCCATTGGGAATGATTCCACAGCCATCCCATCTTTCCGAGGCGAAACCTCTGGGGACAAGAGGCACGTTGCCCAATGCAAGGCTGGGCTCATGCCGTGCAAATGCAAGCAAAATGTGCCTGCTGAAGGTCTGTGGCGCTGTGACTGAGGCCACGACACATTCGAATGGTTTCGCTGCCTTTTCAGATCTTCCTTATTGTTTCGCCCTTCGGTGCCTGCTCTGCCTTCGGTGCCTTCAGTGCCTTCAGTGCCTTTTGGTTCTGAGTCCTTCAGGTGGACTTGGCAGCAGCTACTTATCTTGACAGCATCTCGCCCAAGTCTGCGACTGAGCGAGTCGAGCGCAATTGGAAACAGTGGAGAGGCTGACTGCAGGCGAGCACCTTGCAGCGAGGGGTCGGCCTCCCAACAGCCTGCTATTTGCTGCCTTCTTCACAGTTTACTTGCAGTGGCAGGCAAGGTTATCAACGAATTGCTAAAAGACGCGAAGACGCAAAGATGAGCTGTAGCTCAGCTTCACTCTGAAGAGGCGAAGACGAGCTGCACTCAGCTTCTCGCCTTTGCTCAAAGATGCGAAGAGCAGCAGCCAAGCTTGGGCTTCAAGACTCCAAGTGGCAGCTCAGCTTGAGCTCGAAGATGCAAGGTCAGCTTTGCCCAGCGCTGGCAAATGCGGAGAGGGCTTCCCTGCGCAGATGACAGGAGCGCTCGCTCCAGCGCAATCAACGTCGCGCGCGTGCCTGCCCAATAAAAAGGCACTTGCCGTGAAGAGCCCCCCTCAGCGCTGCCGAAACGCCCTGCAATGTCGCCCAACGGCTTTGTTTGCTGGACTGCTGCCCCGCCCAAAGGCGGGTGCGCAGTCGAGGCGCGTGGCTAAACAATGCGGCATAATCGCAGCCGCGCATGCGAGGCAACGTCCCCGGAGTCGCCAGTGTTTGCGCCAGTTGCCAACACACGGTGCGCGCTTGCGTAGTCCCCCTGTCATGTGAGGCCGGCGCAGGAGCAAGGAACCTTTCAATCAGCAAAGCGCGCGTGCTGTCCAAATAGAAGTGCGCTGGCTGCAAAGCTCCTGCCAAAAGTGATCGTTCAGCGCTGTCTGCGCGCGCCTGCTGAACGAGAAGCGAGCCTATTCCAGTCCAGCGCAGCGTGCGTGAGAATCGCGTTCGCGCTAAGCCTGCTTCAGATGGCGTTGGTCAGGTGTTGTCGGTTCTGAGGTTCTGAACGCAGGCGGCCAAAGCCGCTGACGCTGGCGCCACCTGCTTGGAAATACCCTCAGGGGACTGGACCGTGAGTTCACACGAGTTGACGTCAACTGGAAGACCGGACTACTGGACCTGGAGGTGAGACCCAAACTTGCACACACGCGTGAGCGCCGCTCGCTGCCCAATGATAAAACGCTCCCGCTCAACGGCGTGTGTGCCTGCTGCCTTGCAAGCGCGCCCGTTCAAGGGCGCCGGCCCTTTGGTGGGTTTCATTTTGGTTTCCTTGTAGAAACACCAAGAAGCGGGTACCCTCCAACACGGCAGACTCATATGAGCGCTTGCTCCCGCTCCAGCGTGCCTGCTAGCATTGCATCCCTGTCAAATTTATAGAGCGCGCGCCGAAGAGGGCCCGCGGTTGCAAGTGATAAGCACGCTTGCGTAAGAGGGCCACTCAGCATCGACTTCAAGACTGAAGATGAGCCGCTTTGAGGCGGCCCAACTTCACAGTTTCGCAACTTGAGCCTTGTGAGCGAGTTGCCCTGGGCTGTAGAGCCTCACAGCTTCAGCCACGCAGCTTCAGAGCTTCAGCCCGTAACGAAACAAACGCGTCGCAGTTTCGCATCTTCAAATCGTTTCCGAACCATCCTTGCCGCTATTGTCTCTTACAATTGCCGAACTTGTAGGTCCACTCAGCTAGCTGCTGCGAGTGCTTTGGGAAGTCCAGCATTAAGAACGGCCTCATGCCCTTTCCTTAGGCTGCTGAAGGGTGTTGTCATTTTGCGTACTCCGCATCCCTCAGATGCGTCAAACAGCTCACTGACTGTGCCTTGCTCGGCAGAAGCGCAGCTTCCCCAGTTGAAGCCGCAACGGTGTTTTGCCAACCAGCATAGTAAGGCAGCCTCTTGCTTCAATATCGGCAGCGGTCTCAGCCAGACCTGCGTTGATTGCACTCGCTGGCTGTTAGGTTGTTTGAGGTAACGAGCAGGTAGCATGCCTGCAGCCGCTATTTGCTGCCATCAGGGTACTCCATTTGTGCCAAGCGAGCAGAAGAGAGCTGCGGACCGCGAAAGGCTGATGCAGGGGCTTCTTCAATTTTTTCGTTGTGCTTTTGCGGGTGTCAGGCCTCGAGAATTCCTCTGGAATCGAGCTACCCTTACGTGCTCGCTTCGACTCTTCAACCATTGGCAAGCACAACAGATGAGTTTGACGCGATCGAGGAGCAATGAGCAGTTCCGAGCTGACATCACCAATGTGCTCAGATGTACAGAAGGCCTTTGCACCTACCGTCATGCCTGGCTTTTTTGGGATCTGACATAGATTGCAGGCCAGCGAGCGCTGCGGTCAGTGTGAGGCAGCCTCAGCTATCGCGATGAGTGGTATTGTTTCACCACACCGGCAGGAGAAGGCAGAAGTCTCCTGTGAACAGTGCGAAGAAGTCTTTTGCCAAAGTCAGGACCTCGATTGGATGCTGGACGTCCCTGAGGCACAACAAACTCATGTCAGGGCCCAGAACCTCAACCGCAAAACATGTGCTCGTTTGTGACCGAATTTTGGCCTGTTTCTCCACACTCCATTGACTGCGGCTCTGACAAGCGACATTCTTAGGCCAAAGTTAGCTGCACCAGTTCGTTTGCTTGCTTGCTTGCTTGTTTGTTTGTTTGTTTGTTTGTTTGCTTGCTTGCTTGTTTGTCCGTCTGTCTATTTGTCCGTCTAGTCCAAATCGAATTCAGGATTTTCAAATCTACTACGGTTGCCGTGCTAGCCACTGACGCTCTCTGCCAAGGAGCAAACACGTCAAGCCTCAAGCCCATGAACAACAGTGACCCGCATGCCAATGTCTCCCGGTCTTGAAAGATGAACTTCCTGAGGACGAAACACTTCTCTTAGGATCTTTCTGCGAATGTCAAGTGACATCCATGGAAGCAGGGACACACACCAACTCACCTGTTCCAATCCACGCCCATGGCACCCGGAGCCTGAAACATCAAGCCAGCATCAGTAGTCAAAGGCCACTAGCACCACCAGAGACCGAGAGAGGGGTTTGCAGGGAACAATGACTTCAATCACATGATGAAGCTGGAGTTCTCACCTTGTATTGAGCAACCGTGTGTGCCCGTACCCCTGCAGAACGCAAGGAAATTCTGCATTTACAGATGCAGAGTTCCTGGAGGCCATCCCTTAGTGCATGGCTAAAACAAAGACAAACCAAAACTGCCAAACAGCCGAATTGCCTCTTCGAACCGACCTTGACGAAAGGAATGCAAAACCTGCCAAGCTGAGGCACACCATGTTTGCAGCAAAGCAGAAGCATAACTAGACAAATGCAGTGCTCCAAAGGCAGTTTCGGAGTTTGTGTCCGAAACCCAACGACCACGAGCCTCTCCGGGATCACACGATTTTCAAGGGCCAAGTCGATGCTACACATCCAGGTTGTGCGCAGAGCATCCATCGGTTGCGTTCTCAGCACCTTCGCATGCGTGGCAGCCATTCAGCCGAGAGTGAGGTGGGGCCGCATGGCTCGGCACCGTATCAAAATGCTTGCGATGCCAACGGATCAGAGTCTGTTGGCAACTAGCCAGCGTAACAGCCGCACAAGCCGCGATTACTGAATATGTTCTGACAAGCCGCGATTTACTTGCCCTTGTTTTCACGATTGACAGCTGGCACGGCAGGTCCAAAAAGACCTGCAGCCTTGCCAACGCATAAGCTGCAGCCCTTAGGGCGAACATTTCATGCTTGTCCACAACATCCTCAGGAGCGCCCAGACTTAGATGAGTTGGAAGATCAAAGTCTTCCCCCCCCCCCCCCCGCCCCCATGCAAGCTCGAAAGGAGCCGCTGAACTACTTTTGTGACCAGTGCCAGCCCAGACCCCGCGGCGGTGTTTCAGACTGTGCTACGAGTGTTCCACGGTGTGCACCACTCTGCAAAGTGCATAGCCGAGGTCAGACTGCATTTGTGCAGAGTGCTGCTTGCATGGAGCTCATCAGGGTCACACTGTTCAATGCGCGCTGAAGGCAGGCACACACCGATCTACTTTTTCGCAGTTGTGCAGAATGACAGGCGGCTGAGCTGCTGCCGCGCAAGGCAAGGGCGATTCTTGAGTCAGTGCAAGATGTTCAATGAACTTGCTCCGAACTCGCTGAAGCTGCAGCAAGACTGCATTGGCTTCAACAGGTCGACGACCTTGCGGCAGCTTTACATACCCGACAGCGATCGGTGAACGCACAAGGAAACCGAATTCTGGAAAGGAGGCGCAGTGGCATTGCGAGCATTTCGAGCACCCCTTGCTATTATCAATTACCTCTACTCTTGGCATCCTCGACAATGGTTGCAGATTTCAAGGATGGAAGTTGCCCAAGCTTTGTCGGATGGACGGCAGGCACGCCTAATGGGCTTCATTTGCAATCCGCAGAAAGCTAAAATCAGAGCTCAGGCTTTGCAGGCTGCCATTGAGACTGCAAGTGCATCACTCCAAAAGGCGTCTTGAGTTGCATGCCAGTCTTTTCATACCTTTTGCACCATTGGAGCCTTATTGCTTCTTCCTCCTGTTTGTGAAGGAGGAGGGGAGGTTGCTGCAGGAAGCCGAGCAGAGCATAAGCATGTCCCTCATGCCAGACCGAGAGGAAGTCGAGGCGTGTGCAATGTTTCGGCAAGCTACCGTGGCCTTCAGCCAGAATCACCCCAAGGCGAACTAACAATCTAGCTTGCGCCGCAATGCAAATTGATGCCAGCAACTTCAATCACAGAGCGGAAGCCAATGAATCGGCAGGGAAAGTTGGCAGAAACCCATCGCAGGTTGTCTGCGCCCTTGGCTCAGCACCTTAGATCATTTTAGACCCTCATCAGCTGGCCTGTGAATGCAAGGTCCTTGCACTCTGGAGATGCAGTGCGAGCATTGACTTGGTTCAGAGTGCTCAAGGAGGAGCTATATATCCACGGTTTGAGTTCGTGGCATCACGCTTATGCGGTCAGGCTCTTGCTGAGCCTCCAGCGGATGCAGGCTGCGAGTGTTTTAGTTTCTTGGTTAACCTCCGCTCTGCAGGTCAAGAAGTCTCTAAACATTTGTGGGCTCTTCAAGGCAACTTGGCAACAGATCAGTGCTCTCCAGGCTGACTGAACGGGCATCATCCCAGTAGAACATCGTTTCATGCACCATGCCTGGCATTCGGTTTCAGGCTATTTTAGCGAGAAGTGTGCGAACCTGCAGAAGGCCAGAGCGTTGGTATACGTTGGAAGACACCGCTTCTGCCGCGTTTGAAGCTGCAAGCTGCGGCAGGTAGCTGAGCGGCTGCAATCTCTGCATCCGGAGCTAGCTTGCGAGGTCGCCAGAAGAAAGAGGGGAGACGGGGGAGAACCGGGAAGCCCGAGAGAAGGAGAAACAAGGACGTCTCGAGAGTGATCCAAGCTCTCGCTTCCAGGCCATGCCTCCACTGAGGAGCCAAGAGCTCAGCGTTGGAGAGGTTTGCAATCGCTTCTGGGAGGACACCAGGCGTGCGGACACGTGCGACACCTGGTACCCGAAGCCCCAGGTGACGTGATCAAGGGCAGCTGTGTACGATAGACAGCTTTTGCTCCGTGCCAATGACCTTATGTGACAGTCCAAAGTGGCTTTGCAATAACGCATCTCAAGAGACAATGCAGATTTGTTCTTGCACAATCGCTGCTGAGTTGTGCTTCTTGGAGCGATGTCTAGACGTGCGCTATGCTTCGCTCAGGCCATCCCATACAACAGCACAGAGCTAAATATGCATTTCTTTGATCGCAATATATTGTCAAATTGCAGTGTGCTTTTTCTCTTGCAGTCTTGCATCCTGACAGACAGATGCTTTTGGAAGCTGTAGAAACCAGCATCAATATGCCGCATATATCCATGATTTGAGCTGGCAGCTGTTTAGGTTGCTTAGCTGGGTCTAGATTTGCAGCTTCTCAGCAGCAAGGGTGAGTACCGTGTCTGAGCAGCATCCTTCTGCAGCACCTTGTGAGTCATGCAAGGATCTTCAGCATCAATGTTACATTATGCCAGCCACGCCTCAACAGACAACTTCCGGCCAACAAGAAACTTTAGAATGATGTTCATCCTCTGAAACCTGCAACCTGAAAATTCGACGCTCAGAGCGCCCTCAAGAAGAGTTGATCAGTAGTGTTTTTGGAGCACTTAGGGCATGGGCTTGCCAGCCATGTTTTGCAGAAGGTGACAGCCCCTCGTTTGCAGCATGCACATCATGAGATGTCACGTCAATCATCATTGCTTTCGCGAATCATAGCACTTGCCATTATCCGCAGCACAATTCGCACGTGCCGTTCCAATTGAGAGAACTAGTATGGAACATTCACAGATTCAGATCTGGAGAACAGGAAGGGCACGATCAGCTGTACACCCAAGATTCTAAGGACCCCAGAGGAATGAGTGGCCTGGACCTACATGGCCTCAAAGAGACACCTGCAGAAATTTAGTGTGGTGCCTGTTGCTCACAAGGTGAGTTGAGGCTTGTGCAGTTCTTTTGAACTGCGCCAAGGTGAAGATTCCAATGGCAGTCAAGCCTCCGGCGCTGCGCTGGGATCAATGCCCTTCGCTGACGGCGAAGATAGTGCCTTGGATTCTTATTAAGCTGTTTCAGCGCTTATTTTGATCTTGCCATGGAATACAGGTGATCACTTTCCATCGCAGGCGACCTCGTTGAACACGAAGAAGATGTCAAGCACGAAGAAGATGTCGAGCACGAAGATGTCAGTGGCAGCAGCAACAGCAACAGCAACAGCAGTGATGACAGTGGCACCAGTTCAGAATCCTTTGCAGATGATTCTCAGGATTCGTCTTGCCTGTGGAAATACCGAGTGAGAATGAAGGGGTTCTGAAAGCCTTGCCAGGATCTCCCAGACAGAGAGGCATGTGGGGGCGTAGTTGACAATTCATTTTCATGATGCTTCAGCCTTTCCCGGCCAGCACTGCACCTGTGGAAAACACCAGATCCAATCAAACATGGCAGGTGATGCTTCCTGAGCGTAAACGGCTCAGCGCCCAGACATGACATGCTTTGCCTTCCGCATCATGCATGCATCATGCCCACAAAATTGAGATACTTGGAGCTCGTTGCTGGCATGAGTCATTTCGACTGAGCTTGCCTTTGCATCTTCAGGAAGGGATTCAACGTGGCAGTTGCCAACCTTGCAGAGCTTCGGACTGAGGTTCACTTTGCAGATCATGCAGTCAGGCACCTGTCAGCCATTCACGTAGTTTGCTCGCCAAGGCAGAGTGTTCTCAAGGATGGATACCTGCTGCCTGCTGTTGAAGGAAGCCCAGGGCTCAGTCTCTATGTAAGGAACCAGGGGGATAGAGAACGCCAGGTGAGGTCTCTGACACTGAGCAAGAGGCATGGGAGCCAAAGGGTGCCAAGGGGACATGAGCTCACATGCCATGACTTGGGAAATGTGGGTTAGATTCGTCCTTTCGTCATCTTGACAGACTCGAACATTTGTGGTGGGTGCATCGGTGCATGGAGGCTACGAAACCTGACGACGGTCCAGCTCCGACGCAAACAGCCAGACACCCCAGACACCCTAGACACCCCAGACACTCAAGCTATGCAAGCACACACTTGTTATGCATAACATGTTATGCACTTGCATCGCATCACGCGCTGCATTTGCATTGTATGCAGCTTCATACCTACGCTTCACTCAACCAGGAAACATCAAAGCGGCGATTGGGAATCATGCTGACTCCCGTTGGGCGACTTGAACCAGAGCAGAGACTTAGCTGAAGAAGCTTGACGCCTCCTGAATTCCTGTGGTTGTCCGCTGCACGTGTCAAGGCAAGCGCCGGAGGGTCAAGCTCAGCGAGACAATGTGAAGAAAGATCCAGCGGCCTCAGCTTCGATTGGTGATCATGGAGCCATCTTGGATGAATCTGATCCCAGGCAGCTGCTTTTCCTCTCTTTTGGGAGGAGGACGATGATTTCCCAGTATTCATGGCGTCGCTGGCAGGTTTACCCTGCCATGGGCAATGTTCGCAGTGATGTTTCCGTATGTGGTGATCTCTGAAGTATTTTCTGGTCATGCTTTGTAATATTTTTGGTCGATTCGTGCAACCGCCTATGCTCCGTTCTGTTTGGCGCACCGTAGAATAGTCGTTTGATTTTGTAGGGTAGGTCGCCTAGATTGGTGAAGATAGTCTTACAGGCAACCCAGCTCAATCTTGCATGTGACACTTCTAGATAAGTCTCCAACAGATTTGCAAGGCAGCGCCAAAGCAAGAACATGATGGACTAATAAACCATCAACCTAACTAGATGCATAATATATTGTTTAACATGTTTAAGTTTGTTTAATCCCGCAGCTGTATATGCTTGAAGAGTTTTGTCAGTTGCAAAGATCAGCGTTGTCGCTTGCCCCTGGGCTTTGCCATCATTAGGCATCAACTTGTGATCCTGCTATTGTGTGCAGTTATCTTGAATCAGGGAATGTACCTTCAGAACTTCACCTGTTGACTTATGAGGAAGTTTCGCGCCTCATGCATTGCCTGGGGCTTTTGTCTTGGCTTGTTGCGATCCTGCCAGATTGGCCATTTACCGGCTAGTGACCGGCAGTCGCTTTTGCAGCAACACTTGACGCACAGGTGCAGACATCTCTTGACCCGGTTCAGCTTGAGAAGGCCAACTAGCTTGAAGACCTGCGCTGTGGTGGAAGCTTTGCATGAACAAAGATTGATTGAAGGCAGTTCTGCACTACAGATCGCTCCCACCTTCACAGCTGCATGCTTATGTGAAGAAGGAGCCAGGTTACAACTTGCAATACCACTATGCCACGTACTGAGGTTTCGCCAGTACCACTGCTTGGTAAATCTGGCCTGCTGCCTCATGTCCTTAAACCAAGCCAGACATGCCCGCAGCCATCTGGAGCAGGCAAGTGACGTCAGAGCGTTGGATGTTCTTAGGTTTGTTGTTTGAATATGTCGAGTGCGAGGCAGCCGTCAGTCTTCCCAATCGAGCCTCCGCACAGCTGAATCTCATTGCCTGTTGCCTGCGAATCCGGGATCGAGCAGCAGCTCTTCAAGCCCTCCACCAGGCGAAGTTCCGAGGAATGGCAAAAACATCAAGCATTTTCCGCTTTCGGGGTCCTACATGTAGGCGTTTGCAGGTCTCTTGAGGCTTTTAGATGAGCTTGAGGGTGTGCGTGTGTGAGTGATCACTTCCCTGATGATAAAATACAACCTAGACACATCCCTAGACACATGTATATATCTATACATACACACATATATATATATATGTATACTGTTCGCGGGACCTGTTCTGGTCTTCTTTCGGTCCTCTTCGGTCCTCTTCGGTCCTCTTCGGTCCTCTTCGGTTTTCTTCGGTCCTCTTCGGTCCTCTTCGGTTCTCTTGGTCTTCTTCGGTCCTCTTCGGTCCTCTTTGGTCCTCTTGTGTCCCCTTCGTCCTCTTCGTCCCTTCAGTACTCTTTCTGTCCTGTTCCATCCTCTTCGGTAGTCATAGATCGTTTTTAGTCTTTGTCCAAAAGTGTGGATCGCTCAAAACGGCACTTCCGAGTAGGGCATGTTTAACGCAGACATTAGTTTTTTTTCCACATTGGTTTTAGATTGCTTTCAAATTGGCTGATTTCTGGTTCAATATCGGTTTAGTTTTGAATTGAGCTCAATTGGTATTGGGCGGTCAGTGGTTCAAAGGGCCCCTTGCTATCTCACTATTTGATGTCGATGGGACAAGTAGGGACTAATAGCTGGTTAGTATGGGATTGGAATTGTCATCATTCTGGTTTATTGCGGTTTGGGAAAACAATTGTTATTATTAGGGGGAACCTTCATCGACAGGGGCACTGATTGTGTGTCTTGCGTGCGTGCGTGCGTGCTCGAGCGCGCCCCACCCTCATGAGCCCACACGAAGGACCCTGCTCGAATCGCGCGTGTGTGCAACACCTTGGAACACTGTGTCAACACCCGTGTGTGCTTTTTCACAACTGGTGGGCCGAGTCTGTTTCCTGGCGGCCGCAGCTCCAGCACGCGGAATACGATATTATTCGTTCCCGCGGAACTGACGTACCGACATTTTTTCCTCGACCCGCATGTTGTGTTCTGTGTTGATTGATTTGTCGAGGTTTCTGCGTTTTTTGGATCCCTGCATCCTTGCCTGCACGCGTGACACGAGTCTTGAGGGTGTGTCTGGTGGTTCCCTTTGCTTGATCTTTCTTGACTTCAGTTTGGCCGGCGTGATCGATCCTAGGGAGCTTGAGGCTTTGGTTGAGTTGATCGTCCAATCCTGTTTTTCCACGTTGGTTCACCTGTCTGAGGAATGCTCGACGGTTGCTTGACAATGTGTATGTTTTGTCTTCGCGCGCATGCTTGTGTGTAGGTTTGTGTGTGTATGTACATGTTCATGCTTATGTGCATGCGTAGGTGTGTGGATGAGCATATGTATGTGCATGTGTGTATGTGTAGTCCCTTCCCCTACCCGCTAATAAAAGACTGCTTTCCCTGGAACAACATGTAGTATTAGGGGGCCCCAGCTCCGGTCCGTCCTCTTCGGTCCTATTGGCGCCCGACCAAATAAGCTCTGTTGCCGAGTAAGGAATTGAAACAGCAGAAGTTAGTGACATGTTCTTTTGACTTTTGTATTGGGGTAGTAAGGGTTTTGTGTTGGGTCTGAAAGGCCCCCTCACGAACTGGAGTTGGGGACGGGGGAAATCGCTGTTTCGTATTGGTTTCAAATTGGCTATTCTAAATTTTGTATTCCCGGACCTGGAGTTTTGTGGAATTTGGGAAAATATGTTCTGTTTTCGGGGGTTGCTTATGATTAGGAAGGCGGGATTCTGTGAATGTGTTCTGGTGTGCGAGCGAGCGTGCGCATTCTGTATTTGCATGCATGTTTGTGATTGGGTATGGGTATATGTGCGTGTGTATTTTTGGTTTGTTTTTGTGGTCTGTGTGTGTGTGTGCGCCCACTTGTTGTGCTGAGCTTCAGGCATTGCGAAATGCAGAGGACTGCACTTGGATGGTGAACTCGTTGAGTGAGACGTGGCCTTTGCACAGGACTTGCAGGCTGACGATCATCGATTGCTTCTGCGAACTAGAAAGGAATTCTGGACAATATGAGCCAGTGTTTGCATGGAACACTCAATGATTCGAACTCGCCCAGGAGCTCACAGCAAAGATCGAAAAGTCTGGTTCTCGCAAAGCAGGCCAGATCAACATGACATGGACAGTGGCATGGAGTGTTCAGTCATTCACAGAGCACTCCGTGCATGGAAGGGGCTGGACAAAGCAAAGATGCTTCCAAGCAAGTCAGGAGCCCCGCTTAGAGAATGGTCATGTCAGCATGAGACAATTTATCGGATGGAAATTCAAAGCAGCTGACAGTTGTCAGACTGCCTAGTAGTATTAGGCATATGCGTCTCCTGAGCAAAACCGGTGATGCAGGCAAGGCTGTAACCTGAGGTGCCGGAGGGTGCCTTATGTGTGCTTGCAGAACAGGGGACACTCTGCGTGCGCAGTTCCTGATACAATTGCAGTTGTTTGCCGAATTCTGCAGCAATTCGAAAGCAACTTTCAAGAAATGCAACAAAAAGAGGACACCACCCGCAAACATTTGTTGGTTTTCAAGCGACGCCAGAGGAACACCACAGAACTTGTTTAAAACAAAACAAGAAAAACAGAAACAAGAAACCCAAATCACCAAGAACGAACAACAAACAAGTCCATGACTCTGCCTGCCTTCAGGGGAGAGTGTTCTGTTTGGGGTTTTGTTGGTTTTCAACAGGTTTTTTACAGGGTTTTGCGGTGTTCCTCAAGCTCACCATCACCGGAAAATGCGCCATATACACTTGTCTGCTACAAACACATGATTACGAGCACATTATTAGAAACACATGATTGATCCTAGCAATGTATATAACCCGTGTGTCGACCAACTATGTTGGGTTAGATCGGCATGTTGTTGAAATTAGGATCTGTTAAATTGCCTGCCATGTAGTAGCTGCCATGATGCACAGTATTGTTTTGTTTCAAGAAGTGTGTGTTGAACATGTCAATCAGATTGACATTGATAATCATTGACAGACATTGAGTTGCAGCTCATGTAGCAGCAAAGTCACGCACACTGATTTTAGTTTGAAGCAGCTACTGAAGTTCATGCTTATAACTCTCAACATGTTTGCCAAGTACATGTACATGTATTCACAGACACTCGCAGGGATTAAACAGCACCCAAAAGGTGGTTGACTACGACGTGTACATAAACCATTCATCCATCCATCCATTCACTCATTCATTCGTTCGATCGTTCGTTCATTCATGTATTCATTCATTCGTGCATTCATTCATTCATTCATTCATTCATTCATTCATTTATTTATTCATTCATTCATTAATTATTCATTCATTCACTCATTCATTCATTCATTCATGCATGCATTCATTCATTCATTCATTCATTCATTCATTTATTTATTCTTTCCTTCCTTCATTCATTCATTCATTCATTCGTTCGATCGTTCGTTAATTATTATTGATTCGTGCATTCATTCATTCATTCATTCATTCATTCATTCATTCATTCATTCATTCATTCATTCATTCATTCATGAATTCATTCATCCTTGTTTCATGCATACTAGCATGCGTTCATTGATTCATTCATTCATTCATTCATTCATTCATCCATTCATGCATCCATGCATGCATGCATTCATTCATTCATTCATTCATTCATTCGTTCGATTTTTAACACCCCCCATGGACCTGCCCCTGAAGCCACATCACCGGTATTCGCAGTGAATCTGAAAATGCCCTTCCCCCTAATTCTAGCTTAAAACTATAAGTTACACCTTGCCTATATTTCAGGGGACATATCGAAGTTGAATGCGGCACTATAAATACTATGCTCAATATGTGTTAAATTCGCATTCGGTGTGCTCTGATAGGATTTATCATTTTTGGACATGTTTGCTGACAAGCATGCTTGTTTACTTGTTTAAAGCATCACACCATATATAGACACTTGCCTTTTTATGAATATAGCTAACCAATCCATAGCTTTATTGAACTAGTCAAGTCAGAAGAACTAAGATAGTTGAGCGTGCACTAGCAAAGTAAATGCACACACACACATACACCAATACTTGATGGAGGTCCACAGCACTCCGCCAAAGCAGCGAGAGCATCGAACATTTCAAGTGCTTGCGCAGGGGGCAGAATTCCTTCTCCGTACATTGAACATACGCCGGAAACCCTGCTTAGCTTTGGGAAGGCAGTTTTGCGACGCCGAGGCTTTCCTGCTCTTGCGCAGTGAGTTTTCCATTCACAACCTTTGTATGACACGCGGTAGTCGTGCTCTGTAAGCCCTTCGCAACAAGATCAACAAACTGACTCATAGTTGTTTGGTTTGCCCTCCACCTGGCTTCAGTATGATACTGCTTGACATTTGTCTTGGCGGCAATGCACTCGAGAATTCAATTGGCTCGATCTCCTTCGGCGCAGTTGCGCTGCGTGGAAGGAAACTGATAAACATGTCTCTTTTCGTGGTTGTGTTTCGATTAGTTCTGAGGCATTCAAGCCTGACTCCCTCTTGTCAACACGAGTGATTTCACTGACACTGGACGGTCTGGTAGGAGTTTGCTTTACTTGACTCGGTGGAGCGAAAATCACGTGGGGGACAGTTTGAGCAGTTTCATATGGCATTTCGATTCTTGTGTAAATGCTCAAAAGGCGCTGTAGCAATGCCACCGCCAGGTTAGGTTGAGATGCAGAACTGACTCTTTGGATCTCCTTGGTAACTTTAGCTGAAGCCTTGTCGTGCACCTTCATTCTCTGACCTGAGGACTGGGTGTTTCGAATCTGCCAGTTTGCAAAGGCATCATTTTTCTCTGACTCAATGGGACTTTTAACTTCGTCCTCCCTGGATTTGTGTTTTCAAGCATGTAGATCTAGCCGAGATAGCGGAACATGTGCAGTGCCGTGTACCTGGCACCAGTTCAAACACCGGCACAAAGCCAAGCTCTGGAGATGTGGGGAGACCGGCCAGATGAGCTTCGACAGTAGCTTTGCACGTTTGGCCTGGGTAGACCTGAGCTGATGCAAACACTTGACCACGTGGAACTTGGGGAAAGCAAACAAGGTGCTCCCTATGTTTCATACATTCAAACGATGCCGTCTTGATCTCTGCTTTTGATCTTCATGTTCCAAGCCCATTGCCTCCCCATCTATGGACAGCCTTTCACTCAGCGCATTGGCAGTGGAGGCCTGCTGAGGGGCTGCACTTTCAAACTGTGCAGCCAACGGGCGTTGCGTCGTGCCGGGGAAAGTTTGCCACATTGTGCGTGTATTTCTATGGTGCAGTGCGTTGGATCGAGCGACGTGCTTGGGGGTCGGAATGTGGTCTGGCCATCGGACTGGACATGACAGTGCATCAGTTGCGAAAGTTGTGTGCTGAAAAGTATCTTATGCTGATAGGCCTGAGAGCGGGCGACGATGAGGTCGCTTTCCCAAGATCCTGCTGCCTGAGGCTTTCCACCAGCTACGGATCGTGGCAATCACATTCCAAGCAGCGGCCTGCAAGTCTAGCCTGTCCTCTGTTGCTCGGCATGTGTCCGAGACGGCCAGATGGAGATGTGGGCAACGGAAGAGCTTTGGCTTTCCACCTCGCGGTGCTGTTCCATCTTTTAAAATGCGGCTGCGCAAGAAACGTCCTGAAGCACTCCGCAGAAATCATACCATTGCACCGCAGGCCTTGCTAAGCCGATGAGCTTTGAACCGCCCCAGGAGCTTGCTCTGCAGATCCGACAAGGTGATGATTTGCTAAAGACTTGTCACCTTGCCGCCAGAGCGCCTCAGTCGCTTGTCCGCTTAAATCATTGATCATCGGTTTTGGTTTTCTCCCCCTTGGCTTGTTGGCTGACGCGCCAGGGCGACTGCTTTTTGGCCTGTCAGCTTATAGACACCAGGCTGCCTCAGCTGATCGTCTAATTGGCATGCGCAGCCTACAGTACCAGCTTCTTGGAATAGCTAAATTTGAAGCCGTGAATACCAACTCTGGGTGATGCTACCTTGCTTGAGTTCTGCACCGGTGCATAATTTGCTGTGCAACCAAATGCTCAAAAACGACACACTACATGTGAGGAACCCACCTGCCAAAAACTGAACACAGCAAGTCATACCTGCAAAGCTCTGGCTGCTCAATGCTGGGCGCATTTTTTGGATGTTGAACTTGTTGTTGCACCGTGTTTCTCACTGCATCACTGCGTTTCTTAGCAGCGCTCTTTACTTCGCCTTTGTTTGTCCAACGCTGCCACGCTGCAATGAGACGTGCACAATGAACGCTTTGAACACTTTGAACATCTGGAAGGAGGCGCCCAGCAGCCAGATATCAGCGCAATGCTTAGTTTTGCAGTTTTCAGCGTGTCACACACAGATGCTCACTTAGGGTGATCACTCGACTGGAGGCATGGGCTTCGTGATGTGTTTGAGTCATTGGCAAACATCACTTGGTAGCTCATTTGACGTTTTAATCTTCTTCGCTCAACAGTGCGAGGCCTGGCAAATGAGGAAAGAACTTTTGGCTTTGCGAAGCACGGATGCCACTGAGGCGAATGAAATGACATTTGAACAAAGCGAAAGTGAGAAACTGAACTGGGTGAACTGAGTGAACGATTGGACAAAGTTGAAATCTCGCTCGAGGAAGTGAAACCGCCCTGGAGACGGCGGCATGTATACAGCTGGCACCCCGGGCGCAGCACTTAGGGTGTGTTGGAAGACGCAGAAAAGACACATCCAGGCCAAGACTCCGAGCAGGCCATTTACAGCAAAAAGGCTCAGTGCAGTTTCTAGCGACATTCGGTAGAGGGAGACTGCAATCAAGGGAGATTCTTCAAGTCTTACGCTAAACCAGTTCGCGCAGTTCTTTTGCTGTTTGCTCTCTCAGCCTTTTGTCTCTTGTACTGCGCTCACAGGCCCGGTGGCAACCCTTGAGCCCCGAGGCAGACCGAAGCGTGCATGTTGGCTCGCGTCTACCGAACCTTCTGACAGGTTTTAGGTGTGTCGAACGCTATTGAGTGTTTCCTCTTGAGAGCCGCTTCAAATTGCCCGTTCCGGCTGATCGGTTTGTGCGGTCTATTCATTGTTTTGGTTTGAGCGGTTCTCGTAGGGCTCTGCAAAGCGACTGTCTGATTTATCACATGTGGTTTGAGGCGTTTGCATCGCTTCGTCAAGCCTTCGCCGAAATGGCGGAGCGACAAGAGGATGGGAAATTGGGTGGCCGTGCCATGGTGCTGTGGTGGCACGTGTGAGCTTGATCCAGGTCAGTGCCTTTGGTGCCCAGTCTGATGAGGACTTGGTTGCAGTCCTCAACATGATTGCAGTCATTGCAGTCATTGCAGTCATTGCAGTCCTGATTCTATGTTCTTTGCATGACGCCGGCTTCGCCAGTGACAGGAGGAAGACTCCGACAGCGATGAATCTAGCGATGATTCCGAGGCCTCGCGCGGCCAGCGTTTGGCAGCAAGTCATGAAGCCTTTTTGCATTTGACCAAATAGGAGGAGGATGGAACCGATGCCAGTGAACGTTGTAAGGCAGGTTGCCATGAGGCTTGTAGTTGCTTCATTGTGAAGCTACAGGCTGCACGCGCCTATGCTGCGATCAAAGCCTTGCCACCAAGCTGCAGTAGACCTGATTGATTCGCAACAGGGCCAAAGTGCTTGCTTCCTTGATCGCTGCAGGCCATGCATGTGCCTGGCTCAGAGATGCAATTGCGCTTGACTTCTTTGCCATAGATTCGAATGCATGGCACCCACAGGCCTGATTTGAACTTGAGGAAAGCTTTGGCAAAAGAAAGCGCTATCGCGGTACTTCAAGCTGGAGAGCTGGTGGATTACGAGCGCGACAGTCCAAGCCTTATCAGAGTGATACCGTGAGTTTCCCGGACCTAAAACCAGGAGCTGTATACATGAGGCCGCATTGTCTCGGCCATGAGTATAGGCAAAGTTCAGCTGGGTTCATGCCAGACTGAAGTTCAGGGCAAATGAGTTGCATGAGTCAAGCTAGGCAAATCCAAGCACTGCTGCTTTGACCTGCGGCGCATGCTGCGCTAGTCAAGTCTAGATCGGATTTTTCTGGCGGAGGGGTACAGCAGCAGCAGCAGCAGCTTCTTGAAACTAATCAGGGCAGGACATGGCAAAGCTTCATTTCCGGCAGTTGCCCTCAGAGTGATTTTTCGGCTGGGAGTACTTTGTTGCACGTTTGCTGCCCAGGTCAAATCTTCGAGCAAGGAGACCCTGCGTTTGAAGCTAAGTGGTCATGTTGCACCAGGTCCCAGACCTGTCACATAGTAACAAGGAGTGTAGAGAGAGGGAACTGCCCCAGGCTTCATGTCTACATCGTCGTGAGGGGGTCTGTCTCTATCAGGGCAGCCTCCCTAGTTCAAGCTTGCCATGGTGTCTTGGTCATTGACAGTGCCTTGGAGGTGCTGATTCCAGGACTTGGACAAGATCGAATTCCTGCTGCCGCCCTAGCGGTGATCACCAATTTTTCAAGCGAGCACAGTCAGGTCGAAACATTATACGATGGGCAGATCTTTGGCGATGCCAAGGCAAAACCAGGGTTGTTTTCAGTGATCCTTGACGTCAACTGTAGGATTCTTGGCCCCTTGAGTTTTCAGGTGGCCTCGTGGAATGATGCAGAGGCACGCAAGTGGATGGCTGACAAAACACTGATACCCCCGACAATTCAGATTGCTCCTACCCCTAAAGCTGGAACCAGACTCTTCTAGAGAGGCTCCAGCAGAAGCTGCAATTTGTTATTGCTGAAATATGGTGGAGCTCTTCAGAAAACATGCCCAGCAAAAACGTCAGACAAACTATCCTGCAACCAAGCCTAAGGCAACTTCTTATCAAGGCACCCCAACCAAAAAGAGACACACTGCCACCTCGAACCAACCATCACAACCCTTCTCCAACCCCACTAGACGCATGAGTTCCTGACGATACTATTGGTCGTCCACCGTATTTTGGGGAGGACATGGGGGGATAGCCTAACCTCCTCACAACTAGGTGGACAACGTAATTGTCCCATGCCCGTTTGCGTAACATTTGTCATAATGTTGACCGTTGCTCATATACGAAGAGCTCTCAGCTCATGTGAGCATCAGTTTCCGTGAAACAAAGCAGTTGTGGTGTGCAAACCCAATCAACGAATACTTCCCACCAGGCGCCTTGTTGGGATGTATGCTTTTGGTCGGTTGGAAGAAATCTCCTTCCGTCCTCACTGCGTTTGTGCCAGAGAAGGCGCCGCCGCAAAGAAAAGCTGGAGCCAGGGCTCAGGAGGCCCAGCCAGAATTTGTGTCGACGAACTGAACACATGCAGGCTACTTGCAGGTCACTTGCATGTTTGCATGTTGCCAACTGTCGGCTGTTGGGAGGGGCTGGAGCGTTGCTTAGGCCACCTGCTTGCTGTTTGGAGCCCAAATCTGTCTGAAGCATGCATCAAACCAAACTACCAGTGCTGTGCTTAGGCGCATTCCAGCAGCAGCATACCGGCAGGTGGGACTCGGCAGTGGTGCATCATGACAGTCCTTTGTGCTAGGCTTTGGGTCTTGACCGCAAGCGCCCAATCAGGCAAGCTGCGCTAGATTGAAGAGTCCGAGAAATATCCAAGAAACAAGCATTTCTAGGAAGAGCAGCTTCGGAGAAGCAGACGAGGATTGATGCCGCTCAACGAAACATGTTGCTGCGGACAATTTTGTTGCATAAGGAACTTGACATGGTACGTGTGTATCGTTGACAGGGTTTGGGGCATTTGCTGGATTTGAATTAGAGTCAGGCAAACATGTTTGCATGTGTAACTATCAGGAGGGAGCTGCGCTCTTACCAGATGTTCGGCGGAAGGTTCGAGCCCTGGAACACCATGATAAGCCTGCCTGGCTTTGCAGTGCTGCCGCTGCTGCTGCTGCTGCTGCTGCTGCTGCTGCTGCTGCTGCTGCTGCTGCTGCCAATCCTGCTGCTGCTGCTACTGCCAATCCTGCTGCTGCTGCTGCTGCTGCTGCTGCTGCTGCTGCTGCTGCTTCTGCTGCTGATGCTGCTGCTACTGCCAATCCTGCTGCTGCTGCTGCTGCTGCTGCTGCTGCCAATTCTGCTGCTGCTGCTGCCAATTCTGCTGCTGCTACTGCCAATCCTGCTGCTGCTACTGCCAATCCTGCTGCTGCTGCTGCTGCTGTTGCTGCTGCTGTTTCCGCTGTTCCTGCTGCTGCTGCCAATCCTGCTGCTTCTGCCAATCTTGCTGCTGCTGCTGCTGCTGCTGCTGCTGCTGCTGCCAATCCTGCTGCTGCTGCCAATCGTACCGCAACACGGTATGGATTCTTGTGAATCAAGAAATGACGAGGGGAAACAGCTTCTGCTTGCAGCATGCAGTGCCGGGCACAAGTGGCATAAGTGGCCCAGGTGGCATGAGTGGCATGAGTGAGGGAAGGATGGCAAACTGTCTGGCGCACTGAAGGTCCACGCAATGGCTCGTTCTCCTTTGTTTGCTGGGGCCACCACCAACAATTTGGTGCTGTTGGCATCCAACCTTCAGGACTTGGAATTTGCAAATACTTGAAATATGATTGGGAAGGCGGCAATGTGGATAGCAGCTTCTCATGCTTTGACAGGAGGTGTCTCTCCGCTACGACGATGTTTTTGTGGAAATTGACCAGGCGCAATTCACTCGTTCGACGTTTCGTCGTGTGCTTTCATGCACCAAACCTGCGAGGCTCTACAGGCATGTTTTTTGATCTCCGCGGGCTACCTCCGAGTGGCTGTGCCAGGTGTGGATATGGAAGCCAGGCTTGGCAGCCTGGATGATGCATCAAGAGTCATTGGAATGGGTAGGCTTCCGGAAAGAAGCGGGGAAGCAAGCCGGCCAGGAAGTGCCACAGGTGCCATAGGAAGCACCAGCTCTGAAATCAAAACAGCAAAACTGCCTTCCCGCTTTAGTTTGAACAAAAACAGTGTGGAGTTGCCTGTGTTCCAACTTGGCGAGCGACCTCTTTTGCTTCCTCCAAGAAGCACATCATCTGTGGTCAGTGCGCGGTCGACGCGGCTGACCCCACGAAAGCCTGGCACACCAAGGAGAGGCACGCCGTGGCAGCACTGCTTACGGCAGACTCGAGTTGCACCTTTCACGGGTGCAGCAGAGGGAGATATCGAACTATGTCACCTCCACGCTGGAGAGGCATTTGGCCTGGCCGCCCTTTATGATCCGAAGGGAGAGTGCCCATACTTGTCCAGCGGTGAGGTGCGTGTGCAAAGTAGCGAGGCCAAGATTCTGGTGTTAACACCTGGGAGCCTCGTATATTTGAGTGAAACAGTGTCACGCAGCCTGGTGGAGAAGGCGAAGAAGCAAGAAGATCCCATAGCACCTTCACTACAGAGTATCAAGAGAGAGCGGCTGAACCGATCCAAATGGATAGTTCGGAAGCACAAGGTCTTGCATCGCGTAGTGATGCGAGAGGATTGATGCCGACGAATCGCCAGGTCGCATTTTTGGCGACTGGCTACGAGCCATTGTGAGCTCGTGTTAACGGACCATGCCAAGAGTGTTTGACATAATGACACACTTGCGAGGAATTCTGGTCAAGAGCTGTTTGGTACAAGACGTATCAATCACCAGTACCAGGCCTGCGACGGTTTGCGCAGAGCTGCGCAGAAGCATGCAGCGTGCTTTACTTGCAGCAAACTCGTTAGCTTGAAGCGGGGCTGCGCAAGCAGCTTCGGTCCAACTTTCGGGTGATACGCAGCTCACGTCAGCTTAGAATATTTTAGTTCACACGAGTTCCGTTTCAATCTTGAATTCAAGATGAGACCAGGATTGCGGTACTGTGATGCATAGCGTGTTGGATGCACCGCAGCTGATTGTCCTACAGCAAGCTTTGAAGCATATGCAAGCCATAGCCCATTCTCAATTTCTCAGGTTGATCATATAATATCTGTCAAGCGAAGCAGGCAAGTTCCACTCCCGCAATGTCTGTGAATGGCACCAGGCCAGCTACTAGTTTGACCGGTAGCAATCCAAAGCTTGTCGTGTGTTTGTTTGTGTGGCCTAGTCCTTATTTGTTTCTTTGTTTGTTTGTTTGTTTGACTGTGGGTTTGTGTTTGTGTGTTCGTGAACACTTACTCATTTGTCAGGCTGACGGCGGGCTTGCTGCATGATTGGTTAAACATCATTGCGGGCTGCTGAGCTTCACGGAGCACACTTTCACATTTTTTCATTCCAACCCAGGTGCTGTCAGTGATCTTTGTCCTGTGCGTGGCAGCGATTTTCTTGGGCGAGGACAGTTGTGAAAACATGCTCAAGCTCGACAGAAGAGTGCTTGTGCAGGATTCGGACTTGCACAGTCTTGTTGTGGCCGTGACTGTAGCCTACTTGATAAGTGACGGATTATGGATACTGCTTCAACCAGACATGGTTGGCACCTCAGCTTGGACGATATTTCGGAGGTGCAAGAATTCGCTTGAGGTAAGGACACCCAAAAGCATAATTGCGCATCACGTGGCCATCATCTCAGTCCGGCAAAGCTGGCATGGCTGCCTTGTCTTCGCGGAGTGTTGCAGGTGACTCTTATTGTGATCATGGACCCGCTGCAGATTGCTGCCAAGCTGAACACAGCTGTGATGTAAACTATGATGACAGACAAACCAAGGCAAGCCACCGAGTAAATGCGAGCCGGGCTTTATTGGTGGAGGTCCTTATCTTACAAGTGTGCTGTTTGGTGTAGTTCGCAGCCACCCAGCCTTGGGCCGCAGGTAAACACCGTCTTGCTCACTCTGCGAAGGCTTCTTGGTCATCCAGTATGGTGTGAGGTCGGCTTCTATCTGACTTGGGTGCTTGCCCCAGCCCGCTGCTGTACATTTGTGCAAGATTTGGAAGTTGCAGTGGCAGATTTTGCCTTGAGGCTTTGACCTGAATCATGGCTGAACACCGTTGGCTTTTTGCGCCGGCAACAGTCACTTTAATCATATCGAAAGCACCTGGCCGAATGGCTTTAGTTCGGCGGTTGACACGGCGCACACGGCCACCGAAATGCATTTCTTTTTCTTGGTCTTCATATTGTAATTTTCGCTGGCTCAGAAGTTGGCATTGGCCAGTTGGCTGGTTGTTTGGCTGGTTTGGTTGGTTGGTTGGTTGGTTGGTTGGTTGGTTGGTTGGTCGGTTGCTTGCTTGCTTGCTTGCTTGCTTGCTTGCTTGCTTGCTTGCTTGCTTGCTACTAGAGGGGTGTTGTTTTTAAGGTTGCCCCTGTGTTAAACAGGGTGGAACCATGTTAGTAGGGTGGCACATATTCTACCAACACTGGAGACAATGCCGGTGATATTGATCATGCTGTTGATGCCGGATAAATGCGGGTTCAATGATATTAAAATCAAAGGAATTTTGGAAGAAACTTCCGTGGCGTGAAACTAATTGAGAGCTAGCCCTCTGAGACAGATGACAAGAGAAGAACAAGCACGCGCGAAAACAAAAAAAGAGTGTGCGCGTGTGGCGGGGGAATAGACATGTCAAAAAAGGGCAGCCCCCCTCTGCGGGTCGCGGGGCTTTAGGATGGTCGAAAGGCACTCTCGGACGGGCTTGGAGCTGAGACCATTGGCACGAACGTGCGCGCTTTTCGCAACGCTAGTTTGCGTGACAGGCACAGCGCCGCAAGGTTAGGTGAAGATTTCGTGGCTAGCGCAGCGCTTTCGGTTTGCGAGATCAGGCACAGATTTGGCGGCAGGCGCAGCGCTTTCGTGCTGTCACGCGCAGATTTCGTGGCAGGTGCAGCGTTTTCGTAAGGTGAGATGGTCAGGAGCAGGCGCTGCGCTCGTTAGGCCGGATTTCGTGGCAGGCGAAACGCGTTCGGAAGAAGGGGAGTTTCAAATAGACAGATAGCTGGATGGATAGATAGATAGGCTCATAGATAGAGAGGTAGGGTACAGAGACACACATAGTTAGATTGGTATGTAGACATATGGATTGACAGAAAAATAGACGGATAGAGGGGTCGGTAGACAGACAGACTGACTCATTGATGGACGATGAACGGATGGATGGATGGATAGAGAGGTAGAAAGAGTCAGAGTTTTACAAACTAGATAGCAAAACCGATGAAAAGACAGTTTGACCGGTAGATAGACCGAGAGACACGTAGGTAGACAGAGAGTTACAAAGACAGACGGACAGCTTGACAGGTTAGATAGGTAGGTAGACAGAGAGCTACAAAGACAGATGGGTGGACAGGTTGTTAGACAAACAGGAGGTAGATAAAGAGAAAGATAAGTCGATGGTCAGGTGGATAGATGCGAAGAAGAGAAAGATAGATTGCAAGATAGCTAGGTAGATCGGCAGGCAGGGGCAGATTTTGCAGACGCAGCGCTTTCGGAAGACAGCCTAAACAGGTGGTAGGTAGACCGGCAGATGGAGACAGACAGACAGACAGACAGAGACAGAGAGACAGACAGACAGACAGACAGACAGACAGACAGGCAGGCAGACAGACAGACAGACAGACAGACAGACAGACAGACAGGCAGACATAGGTAGACTGACAAGTAGCTTGAAACGTTGATGGAGCTGTTAGATAGACAGAAAGTAGAAAGACAGACGGAAAGACAGAAAGGCAGAAAGGCAGAAAGACGCAAAAACGCAAAGGCAGAAAGACACAAAGAGGAAAAGAGCGGAGGCAAGAAAGTAAGTAAGTAAGTAAGAAAGAAAGAAAGAAAGACAGAAGGAAAAGAAAAGAAAGCAAGAAAGAAGGAACAGAAGAACACAAGAAAGATAGACAGAGGCAGAGAAAGGAAGACAGAAATACAAAAGAAACCCAAAGGTAAAGGACGGCGAAAAGAAGGAGAAGAAGAAAAGAAAGAAAAGAGAAGAAGCGAAAAGAAAAACACGAAAAGAAAGGCAAGAAATAAAGAAGAAAATAGATAAAGCAAGAAAGAAAAGAACAGAGCGAAAGAAGGAAATAAAGAAAGAAAAGAAAATAAAACAGAAATAACAGAA